AGCTAGGGACGTGATGAATCGGGCGATGGTGACTCAACCATGCCAAATTTGATGGCGTGGCTCGGCAAACATGGCAGCAGAAAAGAGAGGGGGGCAGGTCTAGCTCGGCTCGTCCTCGTCTTGGTAGGACTAGGCTGGCTGCTAGCAGAATGGCACATGTGTGCGTGCTATAGGCTAATGTGGTTAGAGCGGCACAGCACCATAATGGCGAGAAGATAGCGCAAGGCAGCAAGGGCTAGCCCACGTGCGCGATAGCAAGATGTAGTGGTAGCAGCCACAGCACGGCAGTGCGAAGCAGGGAGGGCAGCAGCGGTAGCGGGTAGGGCAGCGGCGGCCTACGGGGCAGCAGGCGCTGCGGTCGGAGTGACCAAGCCGCAGCCAAGCCATGGCCAGGCCAGGTCGGTCTCGGTCGACCAGCGTGCGGCAGCATGGGCGTGCAGGGCATGGCTGCACGGTGACGCAGAGCAGCCACGCGTGGTGACTGCGCACGCAGTCCAGTCAGCTAGTGACCGTGTGCATGCACGAATTTTAAAGTATCCGTAAAAACTAAACTATCGAAGTTGAAGCTAAACCACCTTCACTATGCTAAAGAGGGCATATCATGCTACCCATAAAGGCTAGAACATGGTACCCAGTCTTAGCTAGATTGCTCAGAATTAATTCATGAACTTGGTGTTGTCAAACTTGTATTTAGACTTAGTAACTTCTCAAGTTTGGCTGATTTTAAATTCCAAGTTCCATTTCCAAGCCATTGGAAATACTATCTAGCAATATTATTTTTCTACAGCAAGAATTGCATTATCATCTACAAAGTTTGTGCTTCAAACTTTATTAAGGTGTCACACACATGTTCTATAATGTTTTTGCTCAATAAAAATTGGTTTTCAACCCCACTTGATACAACATGAGCTTTGAATCAAGTTTTATTTAACCTTTTTATTGGTCATTTTAGGCTACAAGAAATTTATCTACACACTCTATCACATGTATTATCACATAAACATGATGCTCATGACATGATTTGGTAGTTTGTTTAAGGTGTAACTCTCTCTAGTTCATCTCTCTTGCTCACTCTACAAACCACCAAGAGCAAGGGAGGGAGGAGAACAGTGACCGGGAGAACATGTCCAGCAAGAAGACCATGGAGATCAACACTAGAAGTCCACAAGTTGCTGGGGATTGAAGACGGAGGAGCCCTCTCTCCCTAAGCAACAAGGAGCTTGGAGGAGAAATCAAGAAGGTGACCAGGGGAAGGAAGAGGTGGATCTAGCTTCACCACATCTCGAGAGGCTCAACAACACCTCCTCCACCCTTTGGTGAGTGAATCTCAAGCTCCAAACACCAAGATGCACAAATGACCAATTTAGTTGTTCATCACCTAAAAAATGACCCCAATAAAGATTTCAATGATTGGATGCAATGTAGCTAGATTCACTTAACTAGAAATATTCTATGGAACCCTAGGAACACCCCACAAACATAGTTTGCACAAGCACAAGCCCTAGAGGTGGATTTAATTTTTGAAGTCTTAGAACACATGAATTGTGTTCCCGTGGACTGTCCGGAGAACATCGGACAAAGAACACCAGACAGTTCATGAGAATGCTCACTAAGAATCAACACTTAGTCTCCACGGCCGATGTTCCCGTAGACCGTCCTTGAGAACACCGAACTGACCGGTAAAAATTAAATATTCAAAACCGAGGGTACCCCTTTCGGGTCTTGTACTCATGAACCATCCGCCGCTCCGATGGACCGTTCGTGAACCCAACACTTAAAAACTTTTCAAGATGTTTCCATGGACTGTTCCCACGGACCATTCAATGCTCACCCGGACTGTACGACAGGACATCAATATCACCTGATCAACTACATTTCACACATAGGTTATATATTATTGTTGCCCATATGTTATACATCATTGCAAAGCATGTCATATACTCTAGTTCATATCATTGTACTCATCTCACATCATGCATTCAATAGGTGACGATGTTCTCGAGAGATCACCATCGAGGAGACCCCTACCCTTCGACGAGTCACCACTTGAACCCTTGCAAGGTAGGCACCTAAGCATTTCTAACTTGTTTTGCGGATTGCATAATGTGCCTAAAGGTTAAGTATATGTGCATTGCTACGTTACTATATGACTAGAATTTCCTATACTCGCCTACTTGAGCTTTCATCCTTGTAATTGATCCAATGCCTTATAACATTGCTTATTTACTTTTGTTAACGCATAATAATCCATGCTTAGTTTGCTTAGATGGTAGAAGTCAAGGTGATGATGAGTTTCTCATCTCTCACGTGGTTAGGGCATGCTTGTCCACTAAGCAACATATATTGGAGATATGATCTAAAACTTGACCAAGATGATGAGAATGAATCATGGGCTAGCAAGGGGTTGGACCATGGCAAGACAGGTGAGATCTTGAATGGTGTAGCTCGCCGGACTAGTTAAGGACCGTGTATTTGTTGTAGTAAGACATCTTGTACAAACCACTTGTCATATATGGGTGCGACCAACTTTCCCGTGGATTCGGCGTGAGGCGTGGCACGAGGTAGCTAGAATAAGCTAGTAACTTGGCCCTCAATCAAACCATTCGTGGGCATCCTTGGCCAGACTTGGAAGAGGTTGAGACATCAAGGTACCTCTTATATACCGACGAGTCGTATGGGCTATATCCCTTGTCATTGCTAGGGTTAATGTGTACCCCTCTACAGAATCTTGAATTTTATGCTATAAGTTCTATGCTTCTAGATATAGACTAGTGACGGGAAAGGACTCGTGGAAGATCGAGCTCCAATTGCTAATTGCTTACATTTTCTTATTAACCATGTGATGCTTGCTTAGTTGTTAAGATCACATTTTCATCCCTGTAAAAAAATGCATTTATGCAAAACTCACCGCAGTCCTTGCTAATGAACCAAATGCATAATCCTTGTATTATATTGGGTAAGTCATGTTGAATACAATCGAGTACTCACTATGTGATTGTTTAAGTCTTGCAGGTATCTCTGGCCCCGCCTATAAATTCTTCTATGCACCTGATTACTTTGAGGATCAAGAGTGGTAGAAGATGCAGTGATACTTTGATGCATGGAAATGGCACACCCATGCATTGTATCTTAAAACTTATGTTGTTTTCGTAAAAGACTTCTGCTAGTGTACTCTGGATGATGTGATGTAATGATTAAGTGTAAAACAAGTGTTGTAAACTTAATGTACTACTTTTAGTATGGTGTGAACTTGATGTATGTTGGAATGATCCTGTCCATCCGCATGATCTGGTTAAAGGTTGGTTTAGTACATCATATGAGTAGTGCACCTGAATGACCGATTAAATTTATTATCTAAATAATGATGAACTCTACTTTTTTTGAGCAAAAATGATGTACTCTACTTAAGATGGAGGCGATCCTACCCTGTGGCCCCTTGCTCTAAGGCCACGCGATGGGCCAGTCCAGAGTCCCCCAAAAGCCCACCACTCCACGTCGCCACTAGAAGGCAGAAGCTCCCATCGTGTCGTCGTCTTCAACCTTGTGCTTGGCCGCTTGGCGCATCATCTTTGACCTCACACTCGGCCACTTGACAGACGATGGTCGGTCTGCCGCCCGCGCCTGGCACTCTGGAGCTAGGGGACAAGGTCTTGCCCTAGGGACTCGCCGATGGGTGGGTTAGCCTCGGCTATGAATTAGAAAAACCAAAACAACTTGCAATTTAGATCGGAGAAGAAAAACCAAAACAATTTACGATTTAGAATGGGGAAGTATCTCAGGACAATACATGTTTCAACCAAATTCCTTCACAAGACAAGTTCACAAATTGCTTATAAGCCTACAAATGATAAAATTTGACTTCATGTGCATTGTTTCAACGTCAATAGTATTTCAACTTAGGGCCTGTTTGGCAGGGCTCTGGCTCCTCCGAAAACGGCTCTGGTTGTGGCTCCTCTGGATGAGCAGAAGCCGTTCTGAAAAACGTTTGGCAAAACGGCTCCTCATGTTTTGGCTTCTTTGATGGTCGATATTAAAAAGGCTGTTATGCACCACGTTTACGTGGAAGAGTTAGCACAAAATGTGTCATGAGAATAAAGAAAAATGTTTCAAGCAAAAGAGAAAATTGTATTTCTAAATAAAAATATTAACTTTTTAATAAAAAATCAAAATATAATCATGTTTGATCTTATTTTATTCCATTAATTATAAATAACATCATGGTCAAAACGGATTTAGAAATGGATACACGGTTTAGGAGAAAATTGCTTTCAAAATTTCGAAACCACGCTATTTATATAGTCATGGCCCACTGCCTCTTCATTTGCTCAAACATCATACTCCTCCAGCCAACCATGGCTGTGCACGTGACCAGAGAAAAGGAGAGCACAAGCCACAATTTTGAGCTCCCTCTACCTAGTTCGTTTTCAGGCCAGGCGGACGAGAGCCCTTCTGTATGGAGGCGTTTCGTTTTCTGGAGACGGAGCCCTCCTGTATGGAGACGTTTGGCAGGGCTTCAGCAGGAGCCATTCCAGAAGCCCTGCCAAATCGAAGTGACAGGCAACATACAAATAGGATCACAGAGAGCAACCCTAACATTGATACACGGATCGCAGTCCCGTTTTGAGTTTTATAACTGCTATTTGCGACGCTCGTCAACACTGATATGCTTACTGACATCGCTGAATAGGCTAAAATGTATAGGTAGCATACAAAATATATAATACCGGTGACAGAGGTCAGTGCCGAACAGCAGGAATGAGCATATCATGACCACGCTGGTTATGAGGTTATCATATCAGTTGACAGCTTCATCACAATTTTTTTAGAGCTAGGTCATATGACAAGCAGCAAGCATTACAAGGTCTGAGAACACAGTTACTCACTCTTGTACCAACAGAAACAGTTCGCATGACTTGAGATGCCAAACATAGATAATAATAAGCAGACAGTTTGCCTTGTCTCCCCTATGCTGCTCCGGGGACACATAACTCGTACCAAAGCTATTTCTTGCCACGCAGCTTCGTTCCCAGGGCCCTCTCGAGCTTGCCAATGATCTGCTGGTTGGGGATTGCCTTGCCCGACTCATACTCCTGGATCACCTGTGGCTTCTCATTGATCATCTGCAATAAACACCATATCCTCATCTCATTAAGAGGCCAAACAAGGCCAGAAGGGTCAAGCTACTTCTCAGCTACGAATGGAACTATTGTAGTTCTGAAATCTAATGTTCAAAAAGTACCTGAGCAAGCTGTGCCTGGGTCATCTTCTTATCGAGCCTTGCTTGCATGAGATTTTTCTTCAGGTCACTTGGAACTCGCTCATCTAGCATGAAGTGAGGAGAGCCGAGTTATTATTATCATGAAGAAAGCTTAGTGCAATCTTCTGCATATGACTCGAATCATGTTTACTTCCGTTCGCAGGTTCAATAGTTCCACCATTTTGAAATCCTTATAGAGAAAAACCAAATTTAATCTGTAGTAATTTTTTATATCCTTGCAACTAAAATGAGACCATGGTCATTAGCATTGTACTACTGGTACATGGTACAAGCATAACAAGGTGATCATCAAAATGTTGCACCTTGCCCTGGCCAGAAACTTCTTTCTGTTAAGTTGTACTACTGGTACATGGTACAAGCATAACAAGGTGATCATCAAAATGTTGCACCTTGCCCTGGCCAGAAACTTCTTTCTGTTAAGGTATAATAGTCAAGGGTATTAGTGTAATCTCAGGAGGGAAACCCTAGACTATTATACCTTAACACTTTCTACCTCCAACACCAGCATCACAGATAAAAGCAGAGGCAATAACCATTGTGAAGCAAACACCCACACCAGAGTAAATGAAATTAGAGACTTATGGAGAGTGAACCTAGACACACTTGACTGTTGACATTAGGAATAGGGCAAAGGGTGCTTGAAGCACCCTAATGAGCAAAGGACCATGGTTCAGCAGTATCCTTTCTACTTGCAATGCATAAGTACCCTTTTTACTTGCCATGCGTACCATGTCCAAAAAAAAATGACACTGGGTCAGGGTACACTGAGCGCAAATGTGGCATGTTTTTGATCTGCTGTATGAATTTCAGTTACAGTAATATTCGAGATGAATAGGAATCAGGCTATGCAGGTTGCAGAGGATGGAACAACTTCACAGACTCATATCTAGTACTTATCACAAATTATCATGTGCACTAACAAGCCACAAAGAGTCTCATACAAGATGCTTATACAACAAATATATTGCCACAAAATTATCATGTGCACTAACAAGCCACAAAGAGTCTCATACAAGATGCTTATATATAACAAATATATTGCCACTTAAGCCTCAATGAATTCACCAAGACACTTATTCAAGGCATGTCCACTTAGTAATTCATTTTCAATAGAAACTTTAACACAAACAAATATATTATATAATAATGGCGTGCAAATCGCTCATTTGTTGAAAATACCAAATGTTATCAATGTTGATTGATGCAACAAGCAAAATAGTTATGAACACAAATACTGTAATATTTCAAAACTTACTCCCCTAACTAAATCAATGTCATAAAAAAAATATGCACAGACTGTGTCAGAACAAAATGGCCAACCAAGAAAGCATCATTTTATAAAACATCCATGCTTTGCCATAACTTAATGTAATGACCAGAAACAACGAAACTATGGATGCACAATGACACTTTAACAGTTGTGCACACATAATCGATTTCACTTTCCCATCTTAATCTTAAGAAGAGAAACTTTGGACAGTGTTGCTAATAAAGTGGGAGGGTTGAAGCACTAGGTTTTCTCTTAAGAAGAGAAAACAGCAACTGCGAGACATATGAACATGAACATATACATCTCCTAAGTCCTAAATCATTTATCACATCCACGGTGGACAAGTGGCCGAATTTATGTATTGTATTGGGATCCTAAGCAAACAAGCATCGACCGAATTGTTCATGAGAAATGATTGCTCACGGGCGAGGTTTTCAGTGTCGTCGTCCAGGCGCTTGGTGTTGAGGGATGTGCCGCTGGACGCCGCCTTGTTCGTACCAGCGTTGTCTGCAGACAGACACAGATCAAGCAGAATCAGAGAAGGATATAGCAAAGAAAAAAAACATAGCAGCTAAGGAATCTATCAGAAGACACAAGAATAAGAGATCAACTCTTCCTCAAACCCTAGCAGGCAAAAGCAAGAAAAATCCCCAAAGTGAACAAAAAAAAAGGATCATAATCAACGAATAAAAAAAAGAACGAAACCCTATTCGTCGAATCCCATCAACCGAACAGCACACACGGCTGGGCTGCAAAACAGATTAAATCGGAACCCGAAAGAAAAAAGACCCCAAAAATCAAGTTAGAAGAAAAAGAAAGTACCAACCGAAAGCTACGAAACCACTTACACTTCTTCGTGGACTCGATCTCCGCGCCGGCGCGGCGCGCGGCGTTGACGGCCTTCTCATCCTTCTTGGCGGCGGCGGTGGGTGCCTTCTTCCGCACCACCACCGGCTCCCAGTCCTGCCTGATCGGCCCGATCCCGGCCATCCCCTCTCCCTCCTTCGCAGTCGCTGACTCTACGGTCCCTACGCGGCAGCCTCTCGCAGGTCTCCCACTTCTCTCTCTCTCAAGACGCAACGCAGGGAAGGCGAAGTGGAGGCGGAGGAGGACCAAGAAGAAGATGTGGAGGCGGAAGGGGAACCTTCTGGAGTCCTAATCAGGAGGCCGCAGGGGACAATTATGTGCGAGACGGGAACGGGCATGACAGGTGGGACAGGACGTGCTGGGACCGGTATGTCAGTGAAGATTTCTTTGCGAACGTCGGTGTGCCAGATATTTTCTCACCTACCCATGGAAAGACACGGGCCCTTTGTTCTTGTGTTTGGATAAGGCTCGAGCCTGTCATTCGTGTCATCATGTGTAAGAACTCAGGCCCATAAGGACGACAGAGCCCAACATGTCTTTTGGGCTGTTTTGTGTCAATCGTGTAACCAGGCAGGGATGAAAGCAGTCCAATATACAATCGTATATATAGTTTTAGTTTTTTTTCACAAGCAAAATCAAATACGTTATTACCGGAAGTAAACAGCATCGATATACTACAGGAAAAACAAAAACGGAACTATTACCTTGATAGTGGTCGAGAAACCATTATTTAAGGCCAGTGCTGTGGGAGTTTCATTCAAATTTCATCCACATTTAATAAGATGTCGTGTAGGCATTTTCGATGATATGGTACCGTATTTAAGAAGAGAGAGGAGAAATAAGTTTCATGAGGATGAAACTCTCCTTACCAACTTGCAATGATCATAGAATTAAATGTTTATGAAACTATAGAATGAAATTATGCATTGAGAGTGGCTGTTTCATTCAAGTTTCATTGCATTTTACTTGATGTGGAATTCTTGGAAACAACTGGCCCTTCTCGTTTCGTTGAAAGTTGGCTTATGCTGATTTGTTATGAGAGAAAAACAATGTTCGGCCGTCGAAAAGTACCGCTGAAGTAGTGCAGCAGAGTAGGGCCAGCTATTAAAAACCCATGAGACTGGTCTTAGTTCACTTTTGTAAACATTTGCATATAATCAGCCTGTTCGCTTGTTGGTTTCAACCAGCCCAAACCAGCCAGCCAACAGTGTTTTCCTCTCACAATAAACCAGCACCAGCCAGCCCAAACCAGCCCAGAAACCAACCAGCGAACAGGCCCAATGCTAGTCTCATGGTGGGTCTCATTCACTGATTCCAAGAACGTCACGTCAGTTTTATAGACTTGACTGAGAAATGAAACTGACTTTCTTAATGGAAGGTTTCATTTTACTATTTTCAAGACAAGTTATATCTAAACTTAGGCACAAAGCCAGGCTTCACACGTCAAGCTTCAGCCTGTTCGAGAGGCTGTATCGTATCGTGGATTATTTACTGTTGGCTGGTTTAGTGTGAGAGAAAAATATTGTTCTCGGCTGGAAATTTACGATCGTTTACGAGCAAACGAACAGGCTGCTTGTTTTCATGCTAGTGTGAACTTGTTTTGACACCACATATACCAGGTTCACACATGCATCAGGTTTCGTGGCAATTGAATATTAGCAAATTGCTGTTCGTTTGGTCGTGGCTTGTCAGAACGATCGTAAATTTCAAACCGAATAAAGATATTTTTTCTTCCACACAAACCAACCAAAGAAAGATTTCTTCACTTAATCAATGAACGATACGAATCAGCCAACCGAACAGGCTGCAGGTCCACACATGAGGACGCGGAATATATATCACAAAGGAATAATGATGGATATATCGAGATTACAAGCAAAGCTAAAAAAAAGCTATGGACATTAAATAAACTAGAGCTAAGCCTTAGTGAAAAAGGAGTCAGAAATAAGGCACTCCATATTTTGCTCAAAATGGTTTGCAATCTGTGAGTATATAGTTTCCTGACGGTCTTCTTGGCGTCGAAGTCACGAGAGTCTGGCAGCTCTTCTTCCGTCCTCTGTTGGTCTCAGCCAAGGACATATAATAGCCAAGAGGATCAAGTCCTTGGCCATCAACGTGCCCTCAGCTGGATCAAGAAACTGCAACAGCCTGTATCAAGAAACTACATGCAAGCTGGTTTCACTCACATAAAACAACTTGCTAGTAGAGAATAGGCATCATTTAAAAGCGAATATGCATAGATAGATGATCTAGGCACATATGAATTGAAGTAGCTTGGAAGACAAGCACGTTTTCAGTTCAGTTCTATATTTTTGTCAGAGTCTGCCTTCTTCAGTTCAGTTCAGGTTCACAAATGCATTAGGTTTCAACCTCACGCATGCATCAAGATAGCATCAGGTTGACAGGTTCACACATACATATCAGATTAACTCAAGATTCTAGCTGAGATTAATAAGTAGCTACTGCTGAGAAAGAAAATTATGAAACTACTAGTAATCAGTTTCCACTGCCTAAGCGGTTACTGCACAAAATTGGTGATAGCCTTTTAGAGGCTTCAAGTAGAAACTCCCGTCATAAAATGGCTTCCAAGGTGTACAAACGTTAATCTGAATCAGAAGTTGAAGACCAGATTTCCTATCTGCTACTGCAATATACGTATACAAGGACTGTCTAACTTTTCAGAACCCTGCCTCAAACCACCTTTGATTCCTCAACCAAAGGAAAACTTGTGAGCATCATTGAGAAAAAATTTCCAACCAACCACCTATTGATTGAATATTTGTTGAACTGATTGTTAAAATGCTAGATGTTGTAGTTTCTGCACCAAATATTCCTATTTTTTGTTCTCATTTTAGAATATGCCTGTGTTGCGGTACCTCCAAATGACCGTGAGCCGTTCATTTATTTTGATCGGACGGTTACAACCACGTGTTACCTCCTAAGAGGTAATATGTGAAATATATATTTATTTAATTTATAAATTAAGATAAATAAGGAAAGTTTTCGATATAATTTTTTTCTAGATTTGATTGATGCATGCGTGATTACCGTGTATTTTTGTACGTGACTTAACATGTGTGTAGCGTGTGTATACGTGTTAGTGAGTGGCCGGTAACGTGAGTACGTGTACGTGACTTACATGTGTGTGTTAGCATGTGTATACGCGTGTCACATGAGAGGCCTGTAACGTGACTTGCATGTGTGTTAGAGTGAGTCAGTGCATGCAATGAATTACTGTTTGCAACTTTTGAATCTACTAATAAAAATACACGATTGAAAGGTTTTTATCCATGTAACGTGTCATGTCACTTTAAAGAAAAGTGTCATGCCATATATATACATATAATAATCCTCTGCCCATAATTGATTGTCGTAGCCGTAGTCAACATTACAGTAGACCACAATTTGGTAACATGTCATGCGCATATAATCTATTTTATTAGTATTTAAAATAATAGACATCCTGGTCATTCCAATAGGTCCAGATCCGGCTAGGCCCATCTAGTCTCGCGTGATTAGGGAGATCACTTAGAATCTTCTTCTCCCGTTATTTGGGGAATCTGGAGGGATTAATTTTGTTTTTCTGGATTTTTAATTCATTAAGTAAATCATAAAATCAGAAAAATTAATGGCTCGGATTAATTTGAGATATTACCTCCTTAGAGGTAAAGTTTGTACCTTAGCATTGCCTTTTAGAATAATAAAGTGAATCTCTTTCGTGCTGAAAGAACTGAATCATCAACGCAATACATATCTGTTGCTCTTAACTTGACACAAAGATGAAATAGGAGAGGAGACAACAACAGAACTTGATGCGAAGATGAAAAAGATCTGTGAGCTTACCACATATTTGCAGATTTATCGTGATGTTGAAGACACTGCACCTTCGCTCGCCGTGTCGCACCTCCTAGCCCCGATTTGTCGCAGGCTCACAGTGGCTCGTCGAGGTCACTCCTGTCCTCTCCACTTGCCGACGCCGCCCCACCACGTATTTATGCTGCCACGCTGCAAACTGGAGGCGCTGGCGAAATAGGTATAGATGGCCGTTGGCCCAACATGCTCAATGCTGAAGCCTGCTCCGCTGCTCGTGCGTGGCCCAGGAAGAAGGAAGAAGCTAACTAATTAGCTAAACCTGTATGAGCGCGTGTTTAGTTGGGAGAAAGTTGGAAATTTGGCTACGATATCACTTTCATTTTTATTTGGTAAATAGTGTTTAATCATGGACTAATTAGGCTCAAAACGTTCGTCTCGCAATTTCCAACCAAACTATGCAATTAATTTTTTTTCGTCTATGTTTAATACTCCATACATGTATCGCAAGATTCGATGTGATGGCTACTGTAGCATTTTTTAGAAATTTAGGATGAGAACTAAACACGCGCTGAGTTCGTGAGAAGCTGCGACCGAAGCCACGTCTAAACAAGTACGCGACGCGAGTGACAAGTCGTCAAGTTCACACATGAACCAGGTGCTCCAGTTCAATCTTCAGTTTACATTTGCCAAATTGCTCCTAAGTCCCAGGTGCTCCAGTTCAATCTTCAGTTTACATTTGCCAAATTGCTCCTAAGTCCCTTTTTGTTGATCTTGATCTATCATCTATAGCAATTATATATTTAATCAATGTTTAATTTATCTTTACCTCCAATTTTTTATTCTTTAGAGGACAAGATTTGGCAATCCCATAGGCCCAGAGTGCGTACGTGCATTTAGGGCATTGTGATGTGAGAGTTGAGACTATTTAGTGGATAATCATTATCTAAAGTTCCCAACTAGGTAATTTACTAACTTTTGATTTTAACGTTGAATCTAGTATGACATTTTTTTTGGGTAAATTACTTAAAAATGTTCCTTTTCAAAGTTGAAACTATTGAAGAATCATTTGAGGTCTCTCAAGAAAGGTTAAATGGTTTGGCAACTTTATACATTAAAAAAAAGGACAGACTCAGTGCCGGACGCTCCCACATAAGTGGGGTCTGGGAAAGGGATAAACCAAGACAAGTCTTTCCCCCACAAAATCTACGGAGAGGCTGCTTCGAACCCACGACCTGGTGACTTTATACATTATTAAGATGAAATTTTTAGATGAAATTAATATTGATGTGATCATCGGTGACTTCATTTAT